CTGCCGATGAGTTTTCTTGACTCGTTAGCATGAATTTTGTTGTGACAATGTTACCTCGCTCTGATGATGTTCGTCAAATGACAAACGAAAGCTTAGCACCTTTCCACCGGAATCGAAGTAGATTGCCTCGGAAACAGCGTCAGCATGAACCTTCCAGTAAAGCTAATCGACAGCTGGTCAAGAGGAATCCGCCGTCGTCTTCTGGTGTAATTGACCTTCGAATCTCTTTAGCAAACACTTTCACTCGAATTGTAAGTAAGCTGAAAAATTATGAAACACAACTTTTCTTCATATTATCAGATGACCATATGATATTCGAGGATAGGCTTTATTGTTGGCCGCATTAACTGTTTTCACTAAATACTCCTTTATTCAGGTTTGGCAATACCACGTTGTTTCTGACTCTGGCTCTCCAGTTCGAGGCCTGCCCAGCCTCACTCCCGGCTACCTGGGCGCCCTGCCTCGCTTCGATTTGTATGGCTTGGCCACGGTATCTCATTCGGATCCTTTCATTCAGGCGAACACAGGCGAGCTCTGTGTTCAATTAGCCATGGCCACTCGGCCAAACACATCGCCGGTGCGCATCATGGCCCAGCTGGTGCACGCAAGTAATGACGTCGCTGAGGACTGTTCACAACAGGTATGGCATAGTGATAGTGCTCCTTGCACTTAGGCTTTATCATAGCATTTCCCATCAACAACAACATCATGATTATTCACATTATTATAATTTTGGGTTTGTAGTTGAACTTTGTCATCAGTTTGACAGCGAACAGTTTAACATTCTTCGCTGGACTAGACGATGAATTCTCTTTTAACATCAGACAAGAAACTTTCTCATCCAGGACGACCTGCAGCCTCAGGTTTGTCAGCATCCGTTCCATTTGCGGGAATTTAAACGGAACCTCACCTAGGCCCAGCAAATCACAGACTATTTTCAACTTTCAAAGGAAGATGTACCTTCCAAGTAGAAATGTTATTGATGATAAGTCTTGCTATCAAAAACTTTGATTCGGCTTCGGCTTCGACAACTCTGAAAGTCGTTGGAACTATCCATGGATTCAGATAACGGCAACGATACTCCGAGCGATCTATTTTTGCATGCTTTTCATTCAATTTCAAAGGCAGATTAAACGGATTCCTCAATTAGCTCTACCGGTAACCGAAAAGGGAGTGGTGACTGTGGATTTGTGCTAAGAAGTTCTCGATACACTGCACAGCTTTCATCTGTTTCGCCGTCAAAGCGTGAAAGGATATTGGCCAAGCCCACTTCATGCGTTAGTGACAGACGAGAGCTCAGCATGGATTGGTCCGAGTCGAATAACAGTGCACCGAGGGCTTCTTCGCACAAATCCATAGTCACAACTGCTTCCGTTGGTGATGCAGCTTGCAAAATTAACTAAAAATATATGAAGGCATGAAGTTGTTGACACCTCGAGATTCACTCTTGGATAGGATCATCTTATTTTTGTAACAATGCCACCTGCTCTCTCATACAGAGAGCTACAACGAACCTGTAGGGCAACTGCAGACTCTAAATTGCATCTGGAGTGAATTATATTGTTTTGTATGGTAATTCCATCCTCAGACTGGCATAACGACTTTATTGTTAATTTGTAAGAAGCACTCTTTAGGTAACATTTGGGCCATATGTGGTATGTCTTATGTCCCTGCCATGGACGCATTCACAACAAGTACCCGTTGAACCATTTCAGCCAGCGCATCTTCTGGGAAAAATAGGATTTCATTTTGGCCTGATGCGTATAATTTTTGATATAAGTAGTTTCAGTAATTATCTAATAATAAATTAGTCATTCTATGTCGTTTGAAGTGATTTTAGGACTTACAATTGAGTCATGACTGATAAGGGAGTGGTAACATCGCCGCGATGCTTACGACTCGATATCAAATCCCGTTGGGACCCAGCCTGGATGAGATGGTCTTTTGGGAGGCACACTCATTTGAAGGTATAGGACAACTCGACTGTCAATCCTTAATTCACTTTAAACGACTTAGAGCGAATAAATTCTGATTGGTACAAATCAGCCAGACCAATCTAGCCTTTAAGGCATGTCGATATTTGACAAGTCAAAAGTGCCAGCAACTTTAATAATTTAATAATTCTGGATTGCATTTACTTGTCACTTTGACAAGTTGTGACTCTGTGCTAACAATGGCGCCTCTCACAGACGTTGCCGGCAAAACGTTTGCGAATGTACCAAGTCAATCGTCCGAAGCTGAAAATCACGAATCGAACTACGTCAGGGGACACGGAACTAGCTTCATTCAACAAGGTCTCGCTGACGCTGCGACCAAATTGCGAAAAAATAGTTGAACCAACACAATAAAGCTAAAGGGGTCTGAGTTGTATTCAGCCTATTTCGTTTAAGGTGATGAAGGATTGGTAGTTGGTTTTTCCCACAATCATATGAGTAGAGTTGACGTTTCAATTAAATTTCACATTGTCTTGCTTTTCCAAAAGTTGTTCTCATCCAGGCACCAGTGAACTGCAGTTCGCTCCTCGCAACAGGGGGTGGAACCGTGACAGTGCAGAATGGGAGCTTGACATGTTAACCACTCGACCGCATTGCCACGAGTGCCCTTGGGTCACA